TCTATATTATGTTCTTTGTAAATTCTTGCCCAACTAAGGGCCTCCTTGTAATTATTCAAATCTATCTTAATAAAATAGTGTTAGGGTGCTGAGAGAGAGTTAGGTTCGAAACTCTCATTCTCAAACCCTCATTGCCGAACTCTCAAGGTCTACTCTCTTTAGTTTTCTTCAAATTCCATGGCTGATGAACTACCCAAGCAAGGGGTCGGGAGAAATCTAACATTCTGGGCACAGATGTAATTTTTTAATTAAAATTAAAGGGGAGAAATAAGAGGGCTTGTCTCTCACCCACCTTCTCTTGTACACTTTCATTTAAATTCAATGAAGTTAACAGTTATTCATCAAAAAAAAAAAGAAGACAGCAACCATCTATTCTAATAAGATCTTGAACGTGTGAAGGTAAACTATCCAAGCTATCATAAATAATCTGTTGAGAAGCTAAGCAACCTAGCTTTGCAAGTGCATCCGCCGGTTGGTTAGCTTTCCCGTAAATATGTAGAGAAAAAATGTCCATAACCTCCTGAATCTGTATGGTCCAATATTAGAGTTTCCAAGAGGCTGCGCACCCCCCATTAATAATGGCAATCAAAATAGATAAATCTGATTCCACCATAATCTTATTCAAGCCCAAGGCTGTGGCAAGATGCAAGCCCTCCAGTAAAGCTTTAGCTTCAGCTACCAAATTTGTATCCAGCCCATAGTTGCTGGATAAGGCACTAATAAAATCATTTCTTCCATTTCTAATTACACCTCCTCCACCACAAGGCCCAGGATTCCCTCTAGAAGCTCCATCCACATTCAATTTAAAATAACCCTCTGTTAAAGGGTTCATGTAGACAACCTTCAATCTCCTTCTAGTAACTGGCTGAACTGTTAATCCCAAACCACTTATAGAGATCTACTGACCATGATTAACTGCATTTTCAAACTTCAGCAAAGGTGAGACTTCATGCACCCATTTCATCACTGTCCAGATAATCATTTGTGAACACCGAAACTTGTTCTCCATTTTACACCAATTCCTCCTTCCAAATTTCCCATACTGCAAAGCAATCACCAGGCCCACAAGGAAAGACTATTGATTATTTGACCTATTTGCCACCAAAAACCAATGGGAGAGATATTCCCTTGCATTATCAACTCCTCTATAAAGATATATCCTTAGTTACAAAGGTCCTTGGTTTCAAATTCATTGCAGGAATTGTTACAAATAGTAAACCTCATATTGATTATTCCCTATAACAACAATATTATCAACATAGATAATCCAGGTAGTTACTAGGCCATCTTTCCTCTTTGTAACATCTCAAGCCAAGCACATGGAGATTACTTAAGGCCATAAAAATAGTTTTCCCATGCAAAAGCAGCAAGGAACAAGTTTAAATATAGTTCAAAATCAAATCATCACTTAAAAAACTCCTTTCTAAGAATATTGAGTATATAGCTTATTGTATTCTTTCAGATAGTATTCCTCCTTCCACTTCTTACCAGCCATCTTAGAGCATAAGAAAGAGAAAATTTTGAAATATAAGCACACAGATATGATTTGCCACCATGTTAGAAGTGTTACAACAAGTAATACATTGGATAAGATCATTTTCTAAAATAAAAAAAATGAAGGCAAAACCTACATCAAAAGTCAAAATCTATAATTTTGGCAAATAAAAGATTGTTTAGAATTACACCTCTATCATCAATATTGCACTATCAGTGCCAGCAAGCACCAAGTCCAACTCTGATTTTTCCATTTCTTTGGTGGTGGGATTTACAATAAACTTGTTGTCAACCAGACCCACTCGAACCCCTGCAATTGCTTTGGAGTTTGGAACTTCTGAAAGAGCGCTGCACACAGTAAAGCCTAAGAAATAAGCTATCTTGCGAGCAGTAATGAACAGAAAAGTTAGAAATGCCAAACAGAAAAAAGAAAATTTTTGCAGACTTACACTGCTATTCCAGCTGCTGTAACTGCCAAACAATCAGGAGGATGCAAGCCATCATAACTCAAAACCTAGGTATATGATAATAGCAGTGAATAGAGCATTCCAAATAAGATATATCATACTTCCTAAATGAGCATTTTTGAGTCAAGAATGAAAAGGTTAATGACAGACAAGATGGGCCACTATGAAAAAAATATTATTCGTCCACTTTTAGATGCAGCCAGATAAGACAAAATAGTATCAAGCATGATGTTTGACAAAACCTATAAGAATAAAGTCTTGAAGACTTGAAAATTTTCATGGATCCAGAACTACCATAGATCTTGCAGTTGTACATCGGCATGAAAAATTCCACGCACCAAAAACGCAAGTCGTGTACCACTTTATTTATCATGGTAGCCTTTCCCCCATGGTATTCATAATACCACAAGGTTCAAAGATGGTGTTTGTTCTACCAAAAGCAACAGTGTGCCAAGTTATCATCCCAGCTTTTGGGAAGTTGCAACAGATATTGAAGCTGTTAGAAGATTGCTTCATAGGACAATTTGTAAGATCTAACGCAGATGAAAATGAGGTTGTGGATTGGGCGACAGAGGAATGGGATACTATAAAGCCATTACAAGTGAGAAGAATAGGACTTTTTAGTTCATATTGCCAAGTAAGGAGGAAGTTGACCACAAGTAGAAAAGAAACAAATAACCCCTTAAACCAAATTCACACCTCCAAACACAGGCACATAAACCAAATTGACAACCATCACCAAAACCCAATATCTTAGGCTTTTTGGTTGTAAGTGGTGTCCCATCTCCTGTATGTACGTCCCACATGTGTGCATATGTATTGACAGATGCACATTGTGATTTGGCTTGGACGCAAGTCTTGACAGATGCACATTGTGGTACTTCCATGGTTCGTCTGCATCCCATGGTTGAGTGGTTTGCACGCGATGATTCCCAGGGCTCTACCAGTTCCCCATGGTCAAATGGGTTGGGTAAGAGTGGTTGGTGTGCTGTTTCAAGAGCTGTGCATTTTCCCATGACTCCACCCATGGTGACATGCTCAGATAGGTGAGCAGTTGGTGGTAGGATCCTTATGGTTGTAAAAAAGGGCTGTTGCGTGTCAAGCTTGGTAATCAGCTTCCATTCAAATTAAGGCTTTTGAAGGTGATGCTGGAAGTCTTGAAGTTGAATTTCATAGTGATGATGCTTGCTATAGAGTAGAGGTTAAGATCATTTGCAGGGGGAATTGTAGAGTTAGTAGCAGAGGCTGAAGTGATGCAGGGACGGAAGCAAGGAAAGAATCCGTGCTGAATAAAATCAGTTTTTTCCAACTACTCATCCAATGATACTTTCATAATTTGGGTGTTCGGTTTCGGTCATTTCAAATTTATTTTCTTGTTTGTTGGTATCTCAGGAATAGAGTTTAAGTTCCAATCTTCTAGAATTTTACTAACCCCAGTAAAAATTGAAACTATATATGGTAAGTTTCAGTGTTACTATTTATAGTTGTCGAGAACACTGATGTGGGCCCCACAGCTGTGGTCCCCACTGTGTTCGTAGGACAGTATGTGTAATTGTTTAGTCATGTTAGTGTTAGTTGGTGGTCAGTTTGTTATTTCAGTTTTTTATTTGCTTTATTTGTCATGTAAGTACTAAGGGCAGATCTGTCCTTTTCCCCTATGTACGGAACATAACCTATAAATACTAAGAGAGTGGCGGCGGCAGGTCAATTAGAATCTGTCCCTTCTTTCAAACCTTTGTGTTCTCCAGTTCTTCTCCTCTCTTTTCTTTCTTTTTCTTACTTTTCTTCTACCTTTCCTAATCTGAAATCTATTAGGGTTCAAGGCTAATTGTAGTCTTGATCGCCTACTTGGTATCAGAGCTTATCTAGGGTTTCTCATGTGAGTCTAGTCTAGCCAACCACATGAGAACTATCTAGGGCTGGAAGTTTATGAAGAAGTGTTAGTTGGCTGATTCTTGGAGGTTACCAGAAGAGTTTAGCAGCTGTTGAAGACTTGCCACCGCTTGCAGAGTGTTGGTAATCAGGAAGAATCAGAGAAGGCTAGGGTTCAGGCAACCTTGGAAGGTAGCGAACAGCATTCTCTAGGTAAGTCTTATTTATTTTCTAGAGATTGCTATCAGTCAAGATATGTTGGACCTATCTAGAAGGAGCGGCCGAACTGTTTTAGGGTTTTCTCTCTATTCTAGGGTTTGACATTAACCTTGCGGCAAACCCAATTGTTGGGCCGAACTCTTTTATCTTCTTGGAAAGTGCTTGTTTTAGGGTTTTCTCTCAGAGGTGATCAGTTTTAGGGTTTCACATTGACCCTACGACAATACCTAACTGTACGGACTGCTTGGAAAGTGTGGCTGAGCACTTATTTCAGACCTACGATTAAAACCCTAATTCTGTTCTAGCATCTCAGATTGCTCTCTAAACTGGTTTCAGACCTATTTTTTGGTTTCGAGCTCTTTTAGGGGGTGAAAAACTTGTACGGACTGCTTGGTACTGTGATTGTCGATTGGTTCCAGATCAGATTTACACTGGTTTCATGCATATACTGTGATTGCCGATTGCTTTCAGATCAGACCTGCACTAGTTTCATGCATATACCATGATTACAGATTGGTTTCAGATCAGACCTGCATTGATTCCATACCGATTTCTGATTGTGATCGACTGTCCAAGTGTTGTTTTCTGTTGTAGTAACCCTAACAGTTCGTAACTACTGATTCTTGACCAAAAATGGAGTTTAAAAATCAGGGAGAAGGTAGTTTTGGGAACAGTAGTTATGGTAGTATATCGGAAGCTGGGTTTCAGATTACAACTATGAGATTTGACGGGTCAAACTACTTGGAATGGACCCAATCAGCCTTGATGGCTATTGGGGGAAGGGGAAAACTAGGCTACCTCTTGGGTGATGTGAAAGAACCTTCCAAAGAGGACCCAATGTATACCAAGTGGGTTCAAGAGAACTACTTGGTTGTGACATGGCTGTGTAATTCTATGCAGCCACATATCAACCGAAATTACTTGTGGGCAAAGACAGCCAAGGAGATATGGGAAGTTATAAAAGAAACGTATTCCCAACCCCTTAATGTTGCCAGAGCCTATGAACTGAAGTGTGAAGTGAATAGTCTTAAACAATGAGAGAAACCAGTTTTTGTCTACTTCTCTACCTTGAAATCCCTGTGGCATGAGATTGATCATCTAGAGACTCTTGAGTGGGAGAGTCCCAAAGATGCACAAACTCACAGAAAGCAAGTCGAGACAAATAGGGTATTTGAATTTCTGGCTGGCCTGAATTCAGATTATGACATTGTGAGGCAACAAATATTGACCAGAGATAGTGTGACCCTCTCTCAAGCATACTCCATGGTGCATAGTGAAGAGACCATGAGGAAAGTCATGATGCAACCTCAGCCCCTTTCCCCAACCCTGGCAGCTATTAAGCCTAAATCAGGGGGTGATCCAGAAAGGGACAGGAAGAAGGAAGATAAACGGGACTTGGTATGTGAACATTACGAGAAACCCAAGCACACAAAAGATACTTGTTGGAAGCTGCATCCTCATTTGGTCCCAGCAAAACTGAGAAATAAGAAGGGTAATGCTCATGTGGTTGTGAATACTGATTCAGCATCTTCGTCAGGCACAAAAGGCACACCCCTAGAGACTTTAGCCATGGTTTGGGCTGCCCTAATACAGTTGGAAAAGGAAGTTGGGAGTTCAGCTCAGCCATCTCAGTCACCATCAACCCCTGCCACATCTGCATTTGCACATTCAGGTACTCGAGCCTTAGCCTACCATGCTTCAGCTCCAGGTAATATTGAACACTGTTGGGTAATAGATTCAGGTGCATCCGACCATATGACTATCTTGCCATCATTGTTCACTACTTATCACTTGTCATCTGGTAGAGATAAAGTATCCTCACTTGTTCCCATTTCTGGCAAGGGTGACATCAAGTTATCGGAAACTATCTCTTTATCTTCTGTCTTGCATGTTCCTAAGCTTGATACTAACCTGCTTTCAGTCAGTAGTATTACCAAACATATGAACTGTCCAGTAACCTTTTTCCCTGACCGATGTGTTTTTCAGGACTTGGAGACGAGGAAGGTGATTGGGACTGGCCGTGAGAGGAATGGGATCTATCTGCTCGGAGAGAGCTCGTTGGGAAGAGCCAGTGGATAAGAAGTCCTTTGTTTCTCAGTTTGTGAGTCCGGTTATACTTTGGCATAATCGATTAGGTCATTTATCTTTCCGGTCCTTGAAGAGTCTGTTTCCTGCTTTATTTGAGTCTGTTGAGTTGTCAAAGTTGAGATGTGAGAGTTGTGAGTTTGCCAAACATTGTAGAACATCTTATTCTTTGAGTAATAAAATGAGTAATAATTCTTTTGATATTGTGCATACTGATGTTTGGGGGCCATATCACATCCCTT